TTATTTATTTAATTTGATATAAATAAAAACTGAATAATTTTAATAATTGGTATTATTTATTATTGACGTGTTAAAAAGTTTATTAATACTCTCTAAATAATAACTTATTTTGTTTATTCAGTATTTTAATAAAGAAGACAGGATATAGTAAAGAAGTTGTAAAAATACAGATGAATTGAAATAAAAAACTATTTAATGAAATTCATATATAGAAAGAAACAAATTTATGGATTTATTTGGTTATAATTAGTTTATTTTATAACTAATTCACTCATTTTGTATTAATGGTTGATTTATAAAAATTAATTGAAAATAATGAAATGCAAATTTTTGATTAGGGATTGTTTTACCATATTAATGCAAAGGATATCTTATATTTTAGTAGTATAGCTTTACTTTTAAAGAATTTGAATTACTTTTATTAGTATTGATTATTACAAAAATAAATAATACTTTGAATGAAATCAATTAAAATATTAATTATTACCAATAAAATAGTAAATAAATATTTGTTGATACTCTATTTTGTGTTTGTCTTGTTAATTACTACAATTGTAAATATCACTTTAACATTAAAGATATGAAATAAAAATAATATGCTTATAACACTACACAATAGAAAAAAAGAACTAGATGATGGATTATTAAATAATAACTGAAAATAGAGTATAATCTTGTAAGAACCAGAATAGCTGATTAAATAAAATGTATAAATTACTAGAATAAGTACATGAAAATTGATTAAATAAAAAAACAAAATGTTAATATTTAATAGTCAATAAATAAAAATATAAAATAAATAACCTGAAAAACAATAAAAGAATGAAGAGGTAAAATGAAAGAATTAAATAAATACTAATGAAAGATAACATGAATAACAGAAGAATAAAAAGAAGGAATAATGAAAAAAAAAACAGAATATAATAAAAGAAATAAATATAATATTTCTTTTTTAAAGATAACATTAAAAGAATATCAATAAGAAAGAACAAAACAAATGATAAAAAAAGGATAAAAAATAATAATTGTTGTTAACAAGTAATTATAAAAATCTGATAAATATCAGAAAGGATATTGAGAATACTTTTTTATCATCTACAAATTATATAAACCACTAGTTATTAAAGAAATTTAAAAAGATAAATGTTTTGATTTTGGAGTTAATCAAATAAAGAAAAAGATGATTAAAAGAAAACAATAGCAATAAATAGGGAATAACATCAGAAATTAAAAGATGAACTTATTTACAATAAAAATTATTATTTTGAATAATACATTATAAAAGAAATCATTAATAAAACAATGACTTAGTAATGAGAAAGAAGAATAAATTCAATTAAAAAGAAATAATAAAATAATACATTAAAGTATTGTTAATAATAAAATATTTGTTTTATATTTCTTTTCTAGTTATTTTATAAATTTTTTAGTTTTCTTAAATATCTTTCAAAGTTGTTTAAGTTATTCAATTAATCAATTACTTAATTCAATTAGAACTTACATTTTAAAAAAATTATGGCAGAAGATGAATGGCAAGAAACTGGATTAAATCTAAAGAAAAGAGTTAGTGTTGATATTGCTGATATCAATGATAAAAGAACAAGTGTATTTTCTGGTAAAACATTTAAATTACTTGGATTTTCTACAGAACAAAGAGATCCAATAAGAGCAATAATTGAAGACAATGACGGTGAAATATCAAACAAAAAAGATGTTGATTTTGCTATTTTGTCAGAAGAATTTAAAGGTGCATCAAAAAAGACATATGAAGAAAGAGGATGTGCTCGTTCATTAAAATGGTTATGTCAATGTATTTATTACAATGAGCTAATTATCCCAGATGAAGAAGGAAAACCTACTAAACGTAATTCTTCAGATCTTCTTCTTCCTAATCCATCAACTAAACGAACAATAGATTTATTCCCTGATGAATCATTAATTAAACCACCAAATGATGAAAATTCAGGAAATACAATACTAGAAGATGGAGGTGATACTCGAGATACTAGCTTTGAAGATACTTCTATTTTACAAGTGAATGACCGTATCATTAAATCACTTCCTAATATTTTTTCTTCTTTTACTATCTATTTTGGAAGAGATATTGACCAACAAATTCGAACAGAATTACAACGATATTTTATTGCATATGGAGGAAATGTATCATTTTCATTTAACTCAAAAGTAACACATTACATAACAAATAATTCAACAGATAAAGAAATAGTGCATTTAATTTCTCCACAGTGTGTGATTGTATCACCTCAATGGTTATTTTTAAGTATTAATAGTAAAACGATTCAACCTTTAACATAATTTAAACATTCTTTCTTCTTATTTAAATCATAGTAATATTGATTTAAATAAATAAAAAAATTAAATAGTGTAAAAATTGAATTAGAAAAAAGACAGCTTAATCCCAATCCTTGGCGATTTTGATCAAATAATCGAATTGAAGATGAGTGACTTTATCATCATCATAAAATTTAACATTAGATTTATATTCACCTCTAGCAAGCATTCCAGTTGGTGCTTCATTCCAATCATTCTTTGGTAATTCTAATGCATTAAATTCATTCTTTGGTGGATATGAACCTAACATTTCTTCATCAGATGCAACTTGTTTACCAAGTTTAGAAACAGTATTCAAAATTCTTAATCCAAGAACTGGTTGATGTTGGACACGGAATGTAACACGCATTTTGAATTCAGCTCCTTCTTTAATAATAATTGGTGTTTTTTTAGCCTTTTCCATATCTTCTTCAGTATTTAATTTAAGAATAACTGGATCATGTTCTTTAAATAATACTGCAAACTCACTAATAACAACTCTTCTTGGATCATCTTTTGGTGGAACATAATCTGGATCAATTCCAAGTGATTTTAAATATGCAACAAGGCTTGGATCTTTTTCGTTTTTAACAATGTCTGCTGCTGACATATCAGTGTTTTAATCTTTTTAAGATGTGGATCTTTTTATATCACCGCTTTTCATCTTCTTTTTCCTTTGAACTGTTTTTATTTCTAAGATCTTTTCCTGTATTTAGTTTTATAGTTCTTTGATACTTCTTCTAATAGTTTTCTAAATAATCTATTTTTTCTTCAGAGTTTTT